ATAATACTACTATGTTTTCCGCAACAACAAAAAAAATTAGTTCGTTATTTTTTCAATTTTATTAATTAAATCTTTGAACGATAAAGGTTCAAATTTTTTGAATCTAAATTACAGAAAAATATTTAGAATTGTTTAAATATTATAAATTTTTGCTATGTTTTGTTTTTATTTAAAAAGCAATTAAAACCGCTGCTATTTTAGGTCTTTAAGCTAGGTAATTTCAATTAAAAACACTGGATAATTTGAGCATGCTCATATAACACGAAAATAGCATCATTTTTAGGTAACATATTTTGAATTTTTACCTAACATAATTATCTTTATGAAAAACTTAGCTTTATTATTTTAGCACCAAAATTTCGCGCCACAGGTTTATTCATGCATAATGATATTATTTTAAAAACGCAAAAAATTAACCGCGTTTTAATTAGATGACAGCCGCTATTTACTGCATGTAAATTTATGCTAATTGTACTGATTCCTGTTATCACCACATAAAGTCGATTCAAAAAATACAAAGCAACTTTAACTTCACTGCTTACAATTAAGAAATTTTTAAGTATGCTCATATTACCAAGGTGCTCTAATGACCCTAATCTACCATATACCGGGTTTTCCACCTGTTTAAAATTAAAATAAATTTATATTATATTAATACAAATAAGTTTATATTGTATTAAATAAATAAATATATAAATAAAACCTTTTATTTTGTGAATAATATAGAATGTTGAGATTGCGCATGCGTTGAATGTTTTAATTGGAAATCACTACAGGGCTAACGACAAGAGGGAAGAATGGAGGGGGGGGGGGTTAGACCGGGTCTAAATCATGCACGGAAATTCGTATATGTTTTGTCTATTATTTCCAAACAAATAAAACTGGCGATCTCCAGTATACTCACATTTAATTCTAATCTGTATAAATATTTTGTAAATAAAGAATGGTATACGTTAATCATGTTGTAAAAGAATAAATTAAGTTTGAAGAGGAATGGAAAAGCGAAAATTATAGTTACTAAACAAATAAACTTTAATTCCTCGAAAAATATAAGTTTCAACATCATTATTATTATTTTTTTTTTGTTGCAAATAATACTTTAGATATTAGTAAAGATTTCCAGAAAATTACGGGATTGCACACGTATCAAAGAGCCACAGCAATCGTTTAAATGCAGTTCATGAATGTTTACCCACGGAAGTTGCGAACTTGCCAACTTAATGTAGTTATTTTTATGAAAATAAATTGCTTGTAAGTATTTTAAGTGAAATATTATATTTTCACAACTCATATTTAATATATTTTTGATGAGAAATAGCAATCATCAAATATTTCTTGCTAGAAATTGTGTTTTGAAAATTACTGTGTATTTTTCAAATTGTTGCAAAACTATCACACAAAAAACTAAAATGATAAAAATATATATATTTAAAAATTCAGGTTGCTTAAAATATAATAAAAATGTTTTGCTATAATTTTTTTTAAGAAAACCATAATACTATGTATATTGCTTCCCAGCGTAAAAATAAATAAAAATTAAAAGTCACGCACAGAAATGGAAATGCCCTTTAGCCATAACGAGTCGTGGCCAAATCGCCATCAAAACCAAAACCATTATTCTTTTAAAATTATATATATTATATATATTATTCTATTAAAATTATATATATATATATATATATATATATATATATATATATATATATATATATATATATATATATATATATATATATATATATATATATATATATATATATATATATGTATATACTTGACAGCGAGGGTATCTATAATCCCTTGAAATATTGTATGAAAATTAATTTCAAATAAAAAGTTACATCCATAATAGAAGTTTTATTTTAATTATATTTTATAACTCTTTAATAATATCTTTTAAAATTCATTTCTTATTTTATCTTTTAAATCATTCACATTTTTGTTGATATTTTATTTTGCTTTTTTTTAGTTAAGCTGTTAAAGTATGTTTTTTTAACTTTTTTGTTTGTTTTGTTTTGTTAGCTTTGGTGAAGTTCAAAAAATACAAACAAAAAAAATAAATAGAAAACTGAAGTAAAATTTTGGTTTAATAACATTCCAATGAATGTTACATTTTCAAACATTCGAAATTCAAATGTTTATAAATACGACATCAAAATTTTTATTGGCATCCGCTGATTTCAGTGGCTAGAGAAATCAACATGTTATTCACACTTTAACAGAACTTATATTGGCATTCAGCGGAAACAAAGAAGAATTTAGTTTTTAAATCTGGATGGTTGTGCTTCTGTTGACTTCTGCCTGGGGCAGTTAACTTTTTTTCTATAGTTCAACAAGCATAAACGATCATTTAGCGACAACCTATCGCTTGGCAGTACTTTAGGCATTTCTCAACTAAAAAAACAGCGCTGTTCCTAAGCGGTTATGTGACACTCGTTGGGAAGCACATGAAAAGAACATCATAGCAGTATTTGAAGGTTATTGCAAATTTTTAAATTTGTTTTCATATTTTAAAATAAGCTAGAACACCTACAAACTTTGGTGTTTGGTTAAATTAAAAACATTAAATTTTTTAAATATTTACATATATATATATATGTATGTATGTATATACATATACATACATACACACATACATACATACATACATACAAACATACATACATACATACATACATACATACATACATACATACATACATACATACATACATACATACATACATACATACATACATACATACATACATGTATGCAGAGTCGATTCTACAAATAAAATGAGGGAGAGGGGGCGAAGTCTTTAAAAAGTACTGACTGGCTCGTATAAAAAAAAAAAAAAGGTCCTCAAAATTAAAATTTACCAGACTGAATTATGTTAAATATCCAACTTGCCGACTAAATTCGTAAAAAAACCGACTATAACTTGAAAATCATCTTCTTTAGGGGAGGGGGGGGAGAGTAACACCATTTCCTCCCCCCCCTCCCACACACACCCGTAAAATCGCCTCTGTTTGTATGTGTGTATGTATGCATGTATGTTTTGTTTATAGTTTACAACATAATAAGTTTAAATTTGATATTAAAGCCTTAAAAGAAAATTTCTTACAAACATGAATGCGGCAAACTATTTTCTTAATACCTTGAGATCTTAAAGTCTATTCAACTATATGTACTATTTACATTATTACTTTTTAAAACAAATTAAGACAAAGTGTCTAGATTTACTTCTTTCATTTGATTGTGCAATCAAAAGGTACAAAGAAAAATTCTAACATATTCTTCAAAATTCTTAACTGTCATAAAGCTGAGGCAGAAAAGATTGCCTTGTCAATCTCTTTTTTTATTCAACGCTTCCAAACATAACAATCAGTGGTGAGAATAAAAATGTTTAATTACCAGTTTGCACCTTCAAAACATTTAAAAACTGGTAATACGCTCATAAAAAAAAAAAAAAATTAAAAATTTGACCTGCTCCCTTGTTGCCATGCGTACTTTTAAGTCACTCTATCCCCCCCCCCTCCTTTTTTTCCCTTTTTAAGTACGAACGGTTTTTAAATGCCTACTTCTTTTATATATTTAAAAGTTATAATTGGAAAAAAAATAAAGAAATAATATTTTTTAAATCAGACCGCTCACGTTTTTATAACTGTTTTGTTCCCTCCTACCCCCTCCCCTCTCATTATTTGAACGTTTTTGCATATTCCCTTTTCCCTAATCTCCTAAGTACTTTATAGACAACCCCAAATGCCTTTGTTTCGGCACAAAATATTAATTTTGAAGACATATGTGCGCCAAAATTTAAACAAATAAAGGTTGAGTAGGTAATGCGATATAATACAATGCCAAAGATTGCAAGTTCAACCGCAGTCTAGTCATAGTTAATTTTTTATTCAAAAAAAAAGTGTATGTTTATTTATATATATATATATATATATATATATATATATATATATATATATATATATATATATATATATATATATATATATATATATATATATATATATATATATAGTAGGGACTATATATACAGTATTTTCTAATGACAAAATAAAAAACCAAATTTACTCAAGGTGGACGTGTATTTCAGGCACCCTCTTTTAATAATTCCGTAAAAAACGAGTCTCACGCGAATTAAGTATCATTGAAAACAATTGCCTAAAATCTGTTTTTGCGAACTTGAAAAAGGATGTGCCCAAAGTACATACCTGCTTTACTTTTACAGCCTGTACTGTAAGGGGCGGTATGTGTTTGCATAGAGGGACTCTATACCACCTCCCTTGTGCAAACCCACTTGGGAAAACTAGGATCTTTGACCCATGTTGGAAATCTAGGATCATTAGTCACAAAATTAACTATACTGTACAACAGACTGTAATATATATATATATATATATATATATATATATATATATATATATATGTATATATATATATATATATATATATATATATATATATATATATATATATATATATATATATATATATATATATATATATATATATATTTTTATTAAAGTTGTAATTCATTCAAAAATATTTCGTTTTAACAAAAACATGTTTATTGTGATAAAATCAGAAAAATAAATATTACTTATGAATATTTTTTTAAATTAACGCGTACATGCTTTTATATTGAGTCCTCCCACCAACTCCCTACGCGCTTTAGTACGCTATTTGCAGACCTACACTCCCACTACGAGCGTGCGTAATTTATAGACGATTCCTAATTAATAACATAATAATGATAGGAACCAGTACTTTTTAATAACTGCAAAGCTATTTAAAATGAATACGTTACGTAACAATGTGTTAAAAGGTATTGGGGTTTTAATTGGTTTTTATTTTTTATTTTTAAGAATAAGTATTGAAAAAAGTTAAAGCTTTAATTTAATAATTAAAGAAATTAGGCACCTCATTTGATTATATTTTATTTAAGTTAGTAATTGTATTTTACAGTTCGATATTCTTTTAATGAGCTAAAGTTAGTTGAATACCTTGTATAGATTCTTTTTAAAGATGTCATCTAGTATTTCGTTTGAAAAAAATCCAGAAGTTGTTAAAAGCAAACCAAGTATTGCTGTTACGTACACGTAGCAACCTTTTCTTCTGCACTTGAAAAATTTATTTTTTTTCATCGTTGTTTATACAATTAGGATTTTCTTCATTCTATGTGAGATGCAAGTGGTAACTAAAACAAATTATATAACATAGTTTATTCATTAAGTTTCATAATCTTAAAATTTTATAAAACATCAGGAAGTTGTTTGTTATGTTTAGAATCTACATTTAGTTTATCAGCCTATCATTTATCATATCAAGTTTAGTGCGAACAATTAAAAAAAAGTCAAATGTTAATAAAATAAGAATGTTAAATGATGATAAAAGTAAATAAAGTTAAAATGTTAAATGTTAAAAAATAAAAATGAAAAAAAAAATTTCTAATACAATTAAATTTAAAGAATTATAAATTGTATATAAATTTATATAAAAAATTTTTGTAGTTATAAAAAATAGCATAAAATAAGTATCCTGTTTATTTAAAACCTCATTAATTATTTCCATACATTATTTCACTCCATGTAATTTATTTTAATAAAAAATATAATTACGTATATTTCAAAAGGACGCATACTTTAAGCAAAATATCTCTTTAATAACTATATGGTTAAAGTTAACAAATGTAATATTAATATTTAATTAATAAAAATAATAAAAATAAATAAATAAATTTATTTATTTATTTTTTGTTGATGTTGTTGATGTGGTTATTGCGGTCATACAAATATTGACATACTGTCTTTAAGTATAAAAGCGACTGCGTACACTTATGAATAACCATAATAAGGTATAAATAAAATATTATAAAGCATAGGAATTATGTCTCAAAAATCTAAGAAAATAAAAAATAAGGATGTTTTTTTTCCAATGATCTTTTAATATATTTTAGTTTATAAATAGTTTACAATTAAAAAGATCATTTCCCATTTTTCAATTTGCATTGATTGTCTTGGAATAGTTGCATTGAATACCTGTATTCTTTTGAGAAGAATAGTTGCAGTTTATATTTCTGAGCATGTAAATCTTCAGCTCAGCAAAGTTTCTGGAGTCTCTTTTTTTAAAATCAGAACAACAATAATTGAGCCCAAATTGAAAACTAGCCAATCAGACAAGTTTGTATGCCAAACGAACATTAACCAAAACTACAAATTTGTAAATACATCAAAATACTTTTATTAAGTGTTAAAGTGAAACGTATTAATGATACATAGACAATGTTCCGTTAAAACACATAAAAGTAAAGTTAAAGATCGAATTGCAATATTAAAAAGATAATACAGTCCTTGCATACACAGAACGTTTATTGGACGTCTTAAGGACGTTGTTTGGGCTTGTGAAGTCCATAGATGTCTTACGTCTATATAACAATAAAAAAAGAAAAAAAAAATACAGCCCTTGAATGTAGACTATCAATTTCGACAAAGAAGACTCAAGAATTTATGACCTCTAAAATGGTAGACCACCACAATTAAACTAACCAAAAAAAGATTCATTTAAAACATGAAATAATAAATGCCAAGAATTTAATAAATACTTAGTCAATGTCTCTTGCATCAAACACCGTGCATCTAAATAAAACTTCTAACGCGTTTTTTGTGAGAAACTCAACTTTAGTATATCTAATGATAAAATGACTAAGCACAAATCATGCGGCTATGATTACATTTCTAGTAACGTAGTTTTACATGTAAAACGTTTTACATGCATGTTATCAATAGTATTAGAAAGCCTTTATTTTATTTAGTAGTATTCTCTTTTGAGAATTTTATTTTTCCTAATAAATTAAAATCAGTTAAAGCTCATCCAATTTTGAAAAAAATTCCTATACTGTCTTTAACTATCTATTTGACTTCTGCCGGTATTTTCAAAAGTATTTAAAAGAGTAATTTACAAGAAAATTTTTAACTACTTGACATTAAATAAAATTAAATGACAAAAAATTGACATTAAATAAAATTTTATTCAAAAATCAGTTTGGATTTAAAAAATATTGTTCTAATGAACATGTGTAGATAAATTTTCTACTTCTTTTAATGCTATTGTTGAACTCGTAAATAAATTTTCCACTTCTTTTAACAAAGATGAATTAGTACTAGAAGTATTCATCAATCTATCAAAAGCATTTGATACTATCGACCTTTGTATTTTACTTTCAAAACTAAACTTCTACGAGATTCAAGTTCTTCCATATGAGTGGACGAGAGGATCTTTCAAACAGAAATCGGTGTTATAATGCAAAAGTCAGAATCTAATAATATTGTTTGTGGAGTCCTACAGGGAACAATTCTAGGACCATTATTATTTCTTACATACATCAATGGTATGCATAAAGCAATATCTAAAATATATTCTATAATATATGCTGGCAAATTAACCTGTTCTTCTATCACTCTAATTCAAATACTCTATTAAATATTATAAACTTCAAACTCGAAAATTTTAATCTATGGTTTTAAAACAAAAAACTGTATTTGAACTGTGAAAAAACCAGTTTAACACTTTTGTATAAAACAACCAATAAACCTTCCATTAAAGTTACTAAAATTATCCAAAAGTATTTAGGAATCGTATTTGATGAAAATTTATCACGGAAAAACATTTTTGTACTCATAGAACAAAAATATCTTCTGCAAAAGGTGCGTTGTGCGAATCGATGTATTTTTTTGATATTAACAAAAAACGTTGTACTTTAGCCTTGTCCATAGTCATCTTTCATATGGTAATATAGTCTGGGCAAGCACACATTTAACAAAGTTTAAAAAATTACAAGCCATGCATGTAAAGCAATAAATATTATGAATAAATTAGAAAAGTACAACCTGTGTAATGAAAACTATAGAGATTTTAGATATAGAGAAACTTTATTCATTTTAGATTCTTATATTTTTGTATAAGTTGAAAAATAACCTTCTACCAAACGTTTTTTCAAATATTTTTTGTTAAAATTCACATAAGTATAATCTTCGTTTTTACAAATTTTTTTTGTTAAGTTCTCATTTTTCAATCTTCGTTTTTACAAATATTATTTTGTTAAAATTCTCATAAGAATAATCTTTGTTTTTACAAATACTTTATTGTTAAAATTCTCAGTATAATCTTCGATCAAATATTAACAAAGACTATTATTTAGACTAGTTCCAAAAAGTCTGAAATTTTCATAGATGATTCAAGGTTTGTTTTTATGGAATCAAATGAAAAATTTTTTTTTTCCAACAATATTTAATTAACTAACAACTTTAGTTTAGAATTAAAAGATTTATCAGGTTAGAAGATTTAATAATAACATGAATTTAAAATTAGGCGACTATTATGAACCACGTGATGCAATGTTTTTATAGGGAGGGCAAAAATATAAACAAATCTTTTACAATCGTTAAATCTTTCACAATCATAAAACAAACAAGTCAATAGTAAAACAAACTAGGAATAAAATTTCAAAAGTTACGTGCATTTACTTACATAAATACAATTAAAGTATAAGTTAAGAAAAATTTAGCAAAGAAAATCTCTGTAATTCTTAAAGTCAATAAAATATAAAAGCTATGAACAATGTTCTAATTTTCTATTGCTGTGAACAATGTTCGTATCTTTTCTATTTTATACAATTTAAATATATGTGTTCACTGAACATATATAGTCAGTGGCGGATAAGGACTTCTTGGGACCGGAGCTATTTTTGATTTTGGAGGCCTTTTTATGGGCCAGAGCTTAAAAATGACAAAAAAAGAATAAACAAGGTCTTCTAAAATTTTTGGGGGCCCCTAAACTTGCAGGGCACGGGGCTATAGCTCCCCTAGCTCTCTCCCCCTCCCTCCTCCTTCATGATCCGGCACTGTATGTAGTTAAATTGTATTATTGATTTAGCGGGTATTTTTGCAATAAGTTTATTCATTATTTTATTTATTTTTTTATTGTTTAAAAAGCAGTTTTGTGTAATTTAACTTTGGTTATTCTTGTGTAACTCTTAAATGAGTTTTAATTTTTTTTATGTATTTTTTTTTATGTTGTGTTTATTATTAAGATTGTTATTAACTGTTTGATTTCTAGGTTCAAAAAACAGTATAGCGACAAAAATAATAGAGTCTACTCCATTAAAAACGTATTCTGTTTTACAGTTTTTTACATTACTAGGGGCTCAAATGATTTAATTTTTACAAGTTTACAAAATGAATAAATGTTCCAAAGTGTGAAATACTAGGATGGAAATGAGAAAACCAACCGATTACGAAAAACTCTGTCTAGTGTCAAATCTGTCGAGCAATTAATTCTATCACAAAATTATGATATTGACGAATACTTATTTCCTATAAAAAAAAAGTGGACCTAAAAGAAAAATCTCATTGGGACAAAAATTTCTGTAAGTTATAATGAGATTACGTCTGAGTATTTTGCTTAAAGACTTTCGCTTTTGTTGCTGGAGTTGTTTCTTAAGTTACCATTATTACATGGATTGAATTAGAATTATTATCACATGGATTATTAGGAGTTGTAGAGCTTGGTTTTGTGGGCTTCCAGCACACAATTTGTGCAACTATGCCAACCTGTTTTAAAGGATTGTATTCAAAAGTAAGAACTGTTTCAGAAATATTTTTGAAACATCAAGCACCCTTGATGTTCAAGGGTGAAGGCAAGTCAATATAAACATCATCCAAAGTCAAAATTCAAAGATCCAAAGGTCAACATTTTATATCAATAACTCCAAATGCAGCAATTTTATGGCTGTCTTCACTTTATGGTGGACGCACCTTTGACATTTTCATTGTTCGGAAGAAGTGGTTTTCTTTATATTCTTAAGCACTACGACCAAGTTATGGCAATCACGGTTTTAAAATTAAAACAGATCTTGCATTTAAAGTTAAAACAGATTTTGCATTTAAAGTTAAAACAGATCTTGCATTTAAAATTAAAACAGATCTTGCATTTAAAATTAAAACGGATCTTGCATTTAAAATTAAAACGGATCTTGCATTTAAAATTAAAACAGATCTTGCATTTAAGTCCACTTCTTACACCTCCAAGTAAAATAAATAAATAAATAAAGACTAATTGTTTTGGACATTTTTATTTCTAAAGAAATAAAAATGTCCAAAAAAAATAGTCCAAGAAACATCTAATACTGCTAATGTACTC